AATAGAAACTAGTATTAACTGGGTACCTGTAATTTGTTGAATAGAAACCAGTATTAACTGTGTTCCTGTAGCTTTGTTGAATAGACACCAGTATTAACTGGGTACCTGTAATTTCTTGAATAGAAACCAGTATTAACTGGGTACCTGTAGCTGTGTTGAATAGACACCTGTATTAACTGTGTGGATTGGGTGGCATAGCTGTGTTAAAAGCACTTTGAGTTTCCCCATCTGTTGTCCCGATTGGTCACTGAAGAGTTGGTGAACGATTCCCTGATCCTGCAGGGAAAGTAGCCCGTTCTGTTTGACTTTGCTTCAATGAGAAATAGGCTCTGGATCAGCTTTGGGCTGATTTATATCAGGCAGGAAGAGAAAAAGCTCACCCCAACCAATTGGGAAGAAGCATCAAACATGAGCTGGTTTCTCTACAGGTCTGTACGTATGAAGGCAGATGAGTTGTAACTGCTGTAAATTTTCACTAAAAAGGACACTCAAACACCAATTAAAACAAAGTATTCTCACCATCCTCCTCCGACAAACTCAACACGTGAATCTCCCAGCTCCTGGGAGGGAGAATATCGGATATCAACCTACAAAAATATAAAGGAGACAATTTAATTCTTTCATTGAATGTGTCGGGGATTTTTGAAATATATTTATTCCCAAGATATCAGCATTGCTGGCTGGGCCAGCATTTAACATCCATTGCTAATTTCCCTCGCAAAAGTGATAGTGAGCCACTTTCTTCAAACTGTGGAAGCCCATGTGGTGTAGGGACTCCCACAGAGTTGTTACGAAAGGTATGCCAGGATTTGACTCAATGACAGTGAAGAAACGGTGATATAGTTCCAAGTCGGGTTGGTCTGTGGCCTGGAGAGTCATGGAGTCCAACAGCATTGAAACAGACTCTTCTGTTCAACGACTCCACGCTGACCATAATCCTAAACTAAACTAGTCGCACCTTCCTGCACTTGGCCCATATCCCTCCAAACATTTCTTATTCATATACTTATCCAAATGTCTTTTACACATTGTAACTGTACCCACATCCACCACTTCCTCAGGAAGTTCATTCCACACACAAACCACACTCTGTTTAAAAACAACATCATCCCTCATGTACTTTTTAAATCTTTCTCCTCTCACCTTAAAAATATGCCCCCTAGTCTTGAAATCCCCCACCCTATGGAAAGGACACCTGCCATTCACTTTATCTATAAGTGTCATGATTTTATAAACCTCTATAAGGTCACCTCTCAACCTCCTATGCTCAAGTGAAACACATCCCAGAGTATCCAGCCTTTCTTTATAACTCAAATCTTCTATTCCTGGCAACATCCTAGTAAACCTCTTCTGAGCCCTCTCCAGCTCAAAAAGATCTTTCCTCTAACAAGGAGACCAGAACTGGGCACAGAAAAGAACTTGGTTTTCCATACATCCATTGTTCTCAACTTCTGGTTAGTAGCAGAATCATATACAAATAGCAGCCAAGGCTTAAAACTCAATGATTCCAATTTTAAAAACATTATATAAATACAATTTGTTCTTCACCCCACAGGTGAAGAGACTAAAACTGTCAAAATTCAACTTAAAACACAAGTACTCAATTGAAGATTGTAGAAATGTTCATTCAATCATAAAATGCCAAATGTCTCCACATTAAATTAAATAAGTCTAAGTAAGATACGAAGTCAGGGTCCATTACCTGAAGTTGTTAATTCCTGATACAGTATTCAGTGTCCACATTGAGCTGCCATTAAATATAGGATGGATCAAGTTGTCATGAACTGTACAGCAGAGAGAAACAAGAAATAATGATTAAAAAGTCAGCAAGGTAGACTTTCTGCCTGTATTCCTTTCATCTTAAAGGGACCCGAATAATATTTTGCACAGGTTTATACCGTCGTAGGTTTCTGTTGATCTTCTGCTAAAGTTGCAGACTGCAATAGTTAGAAGCCTGCCCAAAGCAAATTCAGAGTTAAAATCACTGAAAAATGCTTTGCTTTTGTAAAAGTATACCACATCTTTACCACCTTAGTTGTTATTTCTTTCCTGGTCAGTTTCTAAGCGTTTTGAATGTTACAGTAATACGCTCAGCCAAAAGTTCAGGCTCAGCTGCAAGTGCCACATCCAGTTCTGGGCACTACCCTTTAGGAAAGGGGCGTGTGAACGTTATCAGGAGATAGTGCAGAAAAATAATTCATAAGAAACTTCAGTCGTGAAGTCCTGACTGAGGACATTTGGTCTGTCTTCCATGCAGAAGAGAAGTTGAAAGGAAATTTGTTATTTATTCAACATCATGAGAGATCTGGACACAAGAGATGACCACTTCAGCTCTGAAGAGAGGCTGGATAAGCTTGGGTTGTTTTCCTTAGAGCAGAGGAGACTAAGGAGGGACCTGATTGAGGTGTATAAGATTATGAGGGGCATGAATGGGGTGGATAGGAAACAGGGGGATGCAACGGCCTAGTGATATCATTGCTGGACTGTTAATCCAGAGACCGGCATAATATTCTGGGGACCCAGGTTCGAATCCCGCCATGGTGGATGGTGGGATTTGAATTCAATAAAACATCTGGAATTAAGAATCTAATGATGACCGTGAAATCATTGTCAATTGTCAGAAAAATCCATCTGGTTCACTAATGTCCTTTAGGGAAGGAAACTGCCATCCTTACCTGGTCTGGTCTGCATGTGACTCCAGACCCACAGCAATGTGGTTGACTCTGAACTGCCCTCTGGGCAATTAGGGATGGACAATAAATGCTGACCTACCCAGCAACATCCTCATCCCGTTAATGGATAAAGAAAGCTACTTCCCTTAATTAAAGGATCAATGGCAAGGGGGAAAGATTTTAAGATAAAGGGCAGGAGGTTTTCAGGGGATTTAAAAAGACATTTATTTTTCATCTAGACGGTGGTGAGAATCTGGAATGCACTGCCTGCCAGGGCTGCAGAAGTGGGAAACTTCACAACCTTTAAAAAGTATTTGGATGTGGATTTGAAGTGTCATAATGTTCAAGACTTATGAGCCTAGTGTTGGAAAGTGGGATTAGCGTAGCTAGGTCAGTACAGATCCATTGGGACAAAGGGCTGCTTCTGTGCTGCATGACTCAACGATAGGGGGAGAAAAACCTTCTCTCTCCTGCAAGGACTGACAATGAGAGGGCACAGGTTTCAAATAATTGGCAAGAGAAGCAAAAGCAGTGAGAAGAATACTTTTTTTGGACTGTGAGCGGTTAAGATCCACTGCCTGGAAGGCAGGTAATGGCACATTCAGTTGAGGCATTCAAAGGGGAATGTCATTTGTAAAGGAAAGGTGTCCAGGATTATGAAGAGAAGACAGGAGAAGGCACTAGAAATGATAGTTTGAGTGAGCCAGCACCCCAATTAGCTTGGATGGGCAGGTTTACAGTGCAGAGTGATGCCAGTGTGTGTTTGGGCTCAATTGTTGTACTGATTAAGGTCACTATGTCAGGCCCTCCTTCTCAATCCCCTTGCCAGAAAGGCAGTGACCTTCAGCTTAGGCTTGCTATCAGGTGTACCCCTTGAATGGGAAGGTACAGCTATGGTAACTGTGCCTTACCCAAACTACATTAGCAGAGGGCATGCCATAGCGACAAATTACAAAACGTGCTTTATAAATAGTTGACAAAATCATTAATCTTACCACCAGCCCCATGTACTTCGTGCTTTTTCTGTCTGATAGTCACTGTCCTTTCCCCACTGCCTAGAAATATGTAAAAACATTTCACATGAAAGAGTTGCTTACTGTCCTTGGCATCATTGATTTGGTAAGGCTGTAGCAGGATTTGAAATTCTTGCCCCAAAGCATTCTGCCTCAGCTCGTAGATTGTTAGGGTAAGAGGCTGCACAGCTATTCGACCAGTATATCATGAGACATTGATGACAAACCTGGGTCTAAAGTTTTGTGCATGACAGCTCACTGAGCACTTCCTAGCGATTTCATCAGGAAATTGACTGACCCCCTGAAAGTGACAACGAGGTCAGAAATTCCTGGAAGCGTTGAACCTAGAGACTAGGTATGCGGTACACTCCTTGTTTACAGCACAATGGCATTTTAACAGAATTGGCAGTCAGGTAACAGATGGAGTATAGTGCAGAAAAGTGTAAGGATTTCCAGAATGGATAAGGAACATCAATGTAGGCTTTGCATGGCAACCTATTAATAGAGGTCACGGGTTTAAGGTGAAAGGGGAAGGACTTAAAAGGGACCTGAGAGGTAACTTTTTCACGGAGAGGGTGTTAAACGAATAGAACGAGCTGCTAGGGGAGATAGTGAGAACTGCAGATGCTGGAGTCAGAGATAACACAGTGTGGAGCTGGAGGAACACAGCAGGCCAGGCAGCATCAGAGGAGCAGGAAAGTTGATGTTTCGGGCCAGGACCCTTCTTCAGAAATGTCAACTTTCCTGCTTCTCTGATGCTGCCTGGCCTGCTGTGTTCCTCCAGCTCCACACTGTGTTATATCTGCGAGGGGAGGTGTTGGATGCTGATACAATTACAACAATTCAAAAGGCATCTGGATGGATATATGATTAGAAAGGGTTTAAGGGATATGGGCCAAATGCTGGCAAATGGGACTAGATCAATTCCGGATATCTGATCAGCACAGACGAGTTGACCAAAGGGTCTGTTTCAGTGCTGTATAACTCCATGACTCTATGACTTAATGGAACAGTTCGAAAGAGGGCATGGGGAGCACGAATGAGGCATTTATGTGCATCATATTTCAAGCTGGAAGGTATACTCAACAGAGCAGTAAACCAAGCATATGAAACAAAAGCAGAAATTGCTGAAAATGCTCAGCCTTCTGGTGGCATCTGTGGGGACAAAGCAGAAATAATGTCTAGGTTCCAGCAACCCTTCTTCAGAGCATATGAGATCTTGGGTTCCATAAACATAAAGGCATTTAGTACAAGATCAGGAAATGTTTTTGCTCAACTTTTGAAGAGCAGCCCTGAAGGTTTTGTGCCATTCATGAATTATTGAGGTCGCACATGTGGTTTTGGGGGCCACCTCCCAAAATAAGCAGGCAGATTTCAGAAAAGGAAGGAAAACTCTCTCAGCAGGTCCTTGCATTCACTTTCAACTCGGAGACAAGGTGACCGAAGCAACTGGGGTCTGGAGCTGCATTCGTAGCCTTGTTATTGACATACAAGACTTCCTGACGCAAAGGTTAGCTACGAAGCTTCCAAACAATTGAAATGCTCCACAAATCTTAAATATCTAGAGTGATCACAATGCTGAGGTTTCGGTTTGGTGGTGGAGTGGGAGAGGGGAAGGAGTTTCTGCTAAACTTAACGGCAAGTGCAGTTGAACTTCATGCTTTGTAGCAACGTGGAAGATCATTGGCAATAGGTGATTACCCGTGTACACTCCATTCAATTTTAGAAAATGCAAGAAAATCTATAAAACCCAAAATTATGTCAAATGGGCTTTGGGTCTATGATAATCCATCCTACGCCAGCCGATGAAGGCGAAGATTCACCCCAGCCACAAACTTAGGATTCCCTAAAGATTTGTTTGCACCAACGCTGTCATTGCTTTCAATTGAACAGGACAAGTCACATCATGAACGTAGCCACGACAATTTGATTCACTCACTATCAACCAAAGGCACACGAACAGCTGGAATCTCCTGGGAACCGGCAGGACGTTTATCAGATTTTAAGCTGCAAGAGAAAAGGAAAACCTTTCACTGATTATGTATTACCTTTCTTGGCTTTATGTTTGAGATGCTATATGGGACATCAGACGGAGAACCAGAATGAGTCCGGGTCATGTTGATTGGGGCTTCGATGTCCAGTGTAAGTATTCTGCAGTATCTTGTCGCCATAGCTTTAATCTCAGAGGCACGATGTCAAAACCGGGGAGGATGGAATAAATGGCTCACTATTCATGCGTTTCCACTGTTTTTTCAGCCAAAATGATGAGGAGGAAGCAGAAAACACTGGAGCGAATCAGCCTTAGAGTTAAAAGTGACCTCTGCACAAGTTGAGATGATAGACAGTGCGCGATCCAGATAATTGTTTTATTGCTGGAGAGCAACCTCCACAACCCAAGGATCAGTACACAGGATTTCCTCAGGAAAGTATTCACAGCAAAACAATCACCAACTGCTTCATCAGTTATCTTCCCTTTACTAAAGCTAGGGGGTGCCTCAAATGTACGTAAATACAGTCTGGTTCAAGTAAGTGATGCCTTTGGTTTGTTTGGATAGAGTCAAACTCCAATGTTTGTTTATTTCCTTGATATGTTACTGCACAGAACCAAACTGCATTTGCGACTATGTACACGTGTATTTTATATACATATATATATAAAATGTGTGTGCATGTGACTATGTATATATGTGTATTTATATATAAACATATATGAAGATATTTTTGTGAATAAAGTATATTTTGAAATTTAAAAGAAGTTTGGGGCAGCTGCTGCCAAGGCACACTAGGGAAAGACCACCGTCTAAGGTCTTTCTGCTGAAGTGTATGAGGCTCTGTTCAATTATCAGACCCTCTCATTGCCTCACATCTAAGTAAGTAATGCCTTGCAAGCGTAAGAAATGCCTTTGGTTTTTTGCAACGGCAGGGAATATCAAATGCCGATGTTTGTTCTTGCTACGCAAAGACTGTGCAGAATTGCTCTAGTACCTGTGAATGCAGATAAAGTCTTTTTCACTGAATGAATAAAGTATATCTTTGCAGTTTAGAAAAAATTAAACGAAACATTTGGAAGGCTATTGGAGACTGGCAAGATCGACAGCAGATAGCTATCAAAGAGCCAGGAAAGATTAGATGGGCTGAGTGGCATCTTGTGTTGTATAGTTCTGATTCATAGTGTTAGAATTAGGAATATTTGCAGATGATTGCACAGCACTTAGGCCCATTCACAATGTATCCAATATCAGCCAATATTCACATTTGGTCTGAATTGAGGCAGGTTTCTGTCATGCTGGTCAATTACAACTAAGCGGAACTGGATGAGATACAGCCAGCTACCCGACGAGAACCCTGATGTAATTTCTGGATTGAATTTCACCACCACTTACAAGACAACAAGACCACAAGAAATGGGAACGGGAGTAGGCCGTTCGGCCCCTAGAGCCTACTCCACCATTCAGTAGGGTAACGACTGATTGACACTCCTCACGTTCACTTTCCTGCCTTTTCCTGGTAACCCTTGATTCCTCTACTTGATTAAGAATCTATCTATCTCAGCCCTAAGTATCCACAAGGACTCTGTCCTCACAGCTCTCGGTGGCAAGGTGTTCCAAAGATTCACAGCTTTCCTATTGCAAATGTCAGCAACTGCTCTGAAAGCCATAATGTTTGATTTGTAAAGGATCAGAAGCTGAAGTTATGTCTCCATAGAAAACATTATCCTGGGAATTCTGCTCAGTTAATCCGCAAGTCCTACCATAATGTCAGCAGCAGGTCACCAGATCCCACCAGAAAATTATTAGGAACAAAAACTGAAAGAACTGCGGATGCTGTAAATCAGGAACAAAAACAGAAGTTGCTGGAAAAGCTCAGCAGGTCTGGCAGCATCTGTGAAGAAAAAAATCAGAGTTAACGTTTTGGGTCCAGTGACCCTTCCTCAGAACTCCCAGTTCTGAGGAAGGGTGACAGGACCCGAAACGTTAACTTTGATTTTTTCTTCAATTATTAAGAACAGACTGATTACATTTCTCTGACGATTACAGAGATGTTCCGCCTAGATAACAACAATAGAAAAATGCAATGAATGATTTGTGTTGATGCAACAGTGTTCATAGTCTCATGATGTTACAAAGCTCTTTGCTGCCCTTGCAGTGCGGCCTATGGTGGCTCAGTGGTTAGCACTACTGCCTCACAGCACCAGGGACCTAGGTTCAATTCCAGCCTTGGGTGACTACCTGTATGGACTTTGTACATTCTCCCTGTATCTGTGTGGGTTTCCTCCCACAGTCCAAAGATGTGCAGGTTAGGTGCATTAGCTGTGGGAAATGTAGGGTTACAGGGTAGGTGGTGGGCCTGGGAGGGATGCTCTTTGGAGCATTAGTGCAAACTTAATGGCCTGCTTCCACACTGTAGGGAGTCTATGAATGAAATTTGCCCCTCAAGATATGGCCACACATCACAGATGTTTGAACTAAATATTTTCAAGAAATATTCACAAATTCTGCCTGTGAAAAGGTTCTTGTTTCTGTGGCTTAATTAGTTACAACCCGAATTAAGTGTGAAAACAGGGTTTGCCTGTTATACCTGCTCTTTCCATCCCCAGGAACGGGATCCAATGTCCTCTTCAAGATTACCTTTGGTGAAGGCTCCTTCGGGTGTTCGTGAACTGTAAAGTCAGGAGAAATAACAATAAAGTCAGTGCAATAAAATGTCCACATGGGTTCTTTCAACCCTGGGACACAATTTAGGGTTTACTCATGTCTACTGCTGAAGATCTGATCAAGAGGATGGTGCAAAGATACGCAACAAGAATGTTCAAGGGGCAGTAGGTAAATGCTTGAATTGTGGAAAAAGTACAGAGCAACTGGGAAGGAATGGGATAGCGGGGTTAGCTATTCCTGAGGGCCAGCGATGATATGATGGACCTAAGAGTTCTAAGAGTGTCAAAATGGACCTGAGTGGGAAACACAAATGGGTGTGTGCTGATCATTTGAGGAATCCTTGATGAGACACTGAAACTGAATATTAGGCAGACCTTATATCAGGCAATCCTTGTGGTCCTCAACTCCTCCAGTCATCAGTTCCAGTCAAGTTGATTCTGATGTACATGCCAAGCCTTAAACTTATCAGCTGCCTTTTACATTCTAAAAGCAGCTCAGAACTTCTGCCACTTACAATCACTTGAATGCCAGGCACAGTTACGAAAAAGATGTCGAATTACCATTAGGAATTAGCCTTCTCTCTTCAATTGGCAGGGAAAATGATGCAAAGTATTATTCGTTTTATGTTTAACACATGGATATGTTCATGTGATGGGAGGATCATTGGCACGATCCAGATAAAACAGAAACAAAAACAGAAATTGCTGCAGCTCCGGCAGCATCTGCGGAGAGAAACCAGAGTTAATGTTTCGGGTCGAGTGACCCCTTCTCAGAACGGATAAAACAGATCCTGTTTTTAATCCTCTTTTTTTGCTGCCATTTACCCCACTGGGAGGTAATTATGGCCCATGCCTGGGTTATAATGTCACACCTCATTTTGACTCTTGGGTCCACTAACACTGACCTTTCTGTTCTTGACCTCTGACACATTCCAATTAAACCTGTTAGAAACCCAAGGACCAACATCAATTGGTCTCAACTGGCCTAAGTGTCAGTTTCCACAGTTTCAGGTCATAATGCCTCTGCTCTCATCGTTTACATCTCCTCAAGACCAATACTTTTGCTTCCCTTATCTCCTTATCATCTCCTTTTCCCTTCCTTGTCACCGCCCTTTTGTTGCTTTATTTCTAGCTGTCTCCTACATTGTCTGTTCTTTACTCTCCATCCCCACTCCCTGCCCTGAACGTGGCTTGAATTACAAGGAGCACCTCTAGCTTATTAACAATTTACCGTAGACCTAAGACTTTTTAACCTCCACAAAGGTATTAGCCAGTTAACTGCTCATTTCTAGACTCTTGTTGTTTTGCATTTCTTTCGGTTTTCTACCATCCACGGGATTTTCACCTCTGCTTCTGTAACGGCAGTTTCAGAAAGAGCTGGTGTCCCACTGTTTCACCAAGTATCGCAGCATATTGCCAACCTGCAGTATCCCTTCGCTTGGATGGCCAGTATGCCAACAGTGTGGGTTAACCAGCTGCGGTTACCATGAAAGACTCTCCTTCTCAACCTCTCCCCTTATCTGACGCATGGTGACCTTGAGGTTAAACCACCACTATTTGTCTCTCTCTCTCTCTCTAATGAGAGTGCAGGCACGCAGTCCGGTAAGACTATACCCTGACAGTACCAGGGCTGTTTTGATGTCTGAGTCATTGGTATAACATTACCTTTTGGCTCCGGGAGTTCCGGCATTAGATTGGACAAAGGATGCAGCCTGGAATGACTGAAGACACCTAAGGTATCCTTCCCACTTCCATAGGATGTGCCAATATCGTAGGAATTCAAATCTTCAAAGACCTTGAATGGATGAAAATGAAGCATGAGTCCAACACCGCTCCCCTGGGTGACTGTGCTAACCCATGTTTCCATTCGCTTCCTGCACAATTGAGGGGAGGATGGTTCAGAGAATGGAACAGTTGCCATTTCAGAAATCCAGGCCGGTTTTTGACCTCTTCCACCCTTCAGCGAGACTCGACAAGGTTCCAGATTTGAAACTCCGCCAACTATTTTTAGCAAGATTGAGTCTGTGGCTTTTAAACTGGTTTTTCATTGGATTCCATGAGTTTTGTGCTCAGTAGGTTTAATTAAGATGACCACTATAATTCACACCGATTAGCTGTTGGACTGTCCAGGAACACATTAAAACCATTCTACTTTTGCTTTTTTCCCCCACATTATTAGCATCATTAGCGAGGGCAGCAGTCAGATGTCCATTTCTTAATTTCCATTCAGAAAGTTATGGAAAGCCCCTTTCCTGAACCTATACAGTCCATGATGTGTTGGTAAATTTGCAGTGTCTTCAGGAAGGGATTGCCATAATTGTAACATGGCAACAGTAAAACCATAAGTTCCAAATCAGGATGGTATCTGGTTTGCTAGGGAACGTGCAAGTCGTGGTGATCCTGGCTATCTCCTGACCTCATCCTTCTGGCTGTTCGAGGTCCCAAGTTTAGAAAATACTGTCAAAGGACCCTTGACAAGTTTGCTGCAGTGCATCTTGTCTATTGTACACATTGTACCCCACCAGCCTCTGTATAAGGCTGACCATGAAGAAGCTTTGCCCTGGGTAGTTTTAGGCTTGCTCAAAGAGACACACCCATTGGAGGGAGCATTCCACCACATCCTAGACTTGCACCTGGCAGATCGTGGACAAGCTTTGGGAAGTCAAGAGATGAGTTCCTCACTGCGGAGTTTCCTACCTTCGATCTGCTTTTACTGCCGTTGTACTGATGTGGTTGGTCTAGTTACTGCCAACCCAGGATATTGATGGTGTGGGAATGAAGCCACTTAAACTCAGGAGGAGATCTTTAGATTCTCTTCTCCATTTCTCTATTCCACATCAATCTCAGAACGATAATGGAGCACCATTAGACGCTACAGTAAATGGGTTTGGGTTGGTCAGTTACTGTAGTTGGCTAGTTAATGATATCACCAGCATGGGTTCAATTCCCACACTGGCTGATATCACCATGAAGGGCTCTCCTTCTTAACCTCCCTCCCCTGGCCTGAAGTGTGGTGAACCTCAGGTAAAACCCCCCTAGTCATCTCTCTCCAATGGGGGAGTAGTTGTATGATCTGATAAGACTGTAGTGACTTTACCTTTTTAAATGTAACTTCAGGATAAAAGAATGTAAAATGGATGTAAGTTGGGGTGCTCACTAGTATATATTCCTCTTGATACTTAGAAAGTAGATGCAGGGGTAGGCCATTCAGCTCTTCGAGCCTGCACCACCATTTACTATGATCACAACCGACCATGCAGTCTCAGTATCCCATTCCCGCTGTCTCTCCAGTACCCCATAAACCCTTTAACCACAAGGGTCATACCCAGCTCCCTCTTGACTAAAGCCAATGAATTGGCTCCAATTCTGTGGGAGAGAATTCTTCAGGTTCACAACTCTCTGAGTGAAGAAATTATTCCTCATCTCAGTCCTGAATGGTTCACCCCTTATTCTTAAACTGTGACCCCCTTGTTCTGGACTTCCCCAACATCGGGAATATTCTTCTTGCATCTAGCCTATCCCATTAGGATTTCATAAGTTTCTTCGAGATCCTCCTTCATTCTTCTAAATTCCAGCAAGTACAAACCCAGGTGATCCAGTCTTTCTTCATATGTTTAAGAGAATCAGGCAGAGGTTGGGTGGGGATTTCATATCTCTTGTTTTGCCCTGACAACTGGTGTCAAAACTACTCTCAGACATGATGAAAGGTCATTTATTCCTTACTGCCTGTGCATTCAACAGGACCAAGGCTGATCATCTACTTCAATTCTGCCTTCCCCCGCTGTACCAATATCTGTAGAGATCTGTTGAGCTCTTCTTTTAATATGGCCAAGCACTGGGCCACTACAACTCTCCGATGATAGAGAATTTCTGAGTTTCATAACCAGTTGAGTCAACACCTCAGTCCTAAATGGTTGGCTTCTTATTCAGATGACCCTATGTCCTAGATTCTCCCATGATAACGAGGTGCCGGTGTTGGACTGGGATGGACAAAGTCAGAGATCACACAACACCAGGTTATAGTCCAACACAAGCTGTTGGAGCCTCAGTCCTTCTTCATGAGTCTCCGAAAGCTTGTGTTTTCAAATAAACCTGTTGGACTATAACATGGTGTCATTTGATTTCTGACCTAGATTCTCCCAGACTTGGGTAAAAATAATCTCCAGCACCTACCCTGTTAAATGCCTTAAGAATTTTACAGACCACCTTCGATTCTTCTGAATTTTGGAGATTACATGTCTCGTCTTCTCAACCTGTCTCTCCTTCAAGGTTAATGCTCTCACCCCAGGAACCAGTCCAATGAAAATGTGCTACACTATCTTAAAGGCCAAGAATATTACTCTGTACGTAAGGAGTAAAGTCTCCAGTGAAGGGGGAGATTGCAGTGCAGTGGCACTGCCACTAGCCTGCTCATCCATAGACCCAATGTAATGCTTCAGTGACCTTGGTTCAAACCCCAAGCCCTCAACTGGTGGAATTTAGAACTGTGAAGAGCAGGAATTTTTTCAGCCGCAGGTTGGTTAATCTCTGGAACTCATTGCCTCAGAAGGCTGTTGCAGAAGGCTTGGGAGGCCAGGTCATTGAGTGTGTTTAACGCAGGGACAGATAGGTTCTTGATTAGTAAGAGGGTCAAGAAGGGGAGAAGGCAAGAGAATGGGTTCAGAATCATATCAGCAATGATGGAATGGCCGAGCAGACTCAGTGGGCCGATTGGCCCAATTCTACTCCTGCGTCTTATGGTCTAATTCATAATTTTCAGTGATGTCAACTATTCCATAAAATCCCATCTGGCAAACTCTTTACCTGATCTGTCTTACGGATCTGTGAATCCATATCCACAGCAATGTGGTTGACTCCTAACTGCAGTCTGAAGTGGAATACTGAGTTTGACAGGCAATTAGGGATGGGCAACCTATGCCAGGTTTGTCCGATGTCTCAGAGAAGGCTAAATGAAGAAGTAAGTTTTCATTTGTCCCCTTATATCCAAGCTCTTTGCAATAGGGGGTGGTTTACCTTTCCATGCTCAGTCCTATAACGTTAGTAGTTTAACCTCGACACGACATTTCACACCACAGATCAACTTCAAACTTCAGAAGAATACGCGGAAACTAATGCTACACAATGCGACATTACCTTCCTCATGGTGATAGTGTCCTGTGCATGTAATTCTTTAAGCCTGGGATCCACCGCTTGCACAAAGACCTCCGTTGGATTGTCAGACAGCACTGATAGCTCTAATTTGTAATCTCCCCGTTGCTGGAGCAACGCTGAATCGACCTGAAACTGTAAATCACGGTCAGCCTGAAGAGGCAGCAAGTAGGAACAAATACTGTGGATGTGAAATTAACGAGGAAACAAAACAGAGGGATATGATGGATGGCTGCCTTTCAGTGTGAAGACTGTCCCTCACAGAAATGCACTAGGACCGCAGCACTTTTAAAATATATATTCACAATTGTGACTTGGGTATGGGACATCGCTTCAATGTTTGCAGAGGTCACAAAATTTGGAAACGTATGAGCCATTGAGAAGAATAATGTTCGTCGTCAATAGAATTAATACACTGGAGAATTTTCGGTTCTGTAGTCCTGAATCCTTTGTTTTTAACCCGTGGATCAGATCAAATGTTCATTTTCTGAATTCCAGGGAATGAAACCTGTTTCTATGCAAAATGTCCTCATAATTTCGCCCTCTAAGCCCTGCCCTTGAGATTTACACTGAACAGATCCAACTAGTAGTCAAATTAAATCAAAGATTTAAGGTAGAATTTGGTCATTACTTGCAATTACAGAGTCATACAGCATGGAAACAAACCCTTTGGTCCAACTAGTCCATACCAACCATTTTCCCAAACTAAATGCCTACATTTGGCCCATATCTCTCCAAACCTTTCCTATTTATGAACTTATTTCTTTCAAATGTTGTAACTGTACTTACATTCACCACTTTCTCTGGCAGTTCATTCCACACGCTAACCACTCTCTGCGTAAAAAAAGTTACCCCTCATTTCCTTTTTAAATCTTTCTCCTCTCACCTTAAAAATTTGCCCCCAGTCTTAAAATCCCCCAGCTTAGGGAAAAGACTCTTCCTATTCACCTTACCTAGGACCCTCACGATTTTATAAACATCTTTTTGCATCCTGGCCTTTACTTCAATGGGAATGGCATATCAAAGCAGGGACATCTTGCTAAAACTACACAAGGCTTTGGTCAGACCACAAAGGAAAACAGAAATCATTGGGAAAACTCAGCAGGCTTGGCAACATATGTGGGGAGAGAAAAAGCAGAGCTAATGTTTCAGGTCTAGTGACCCTTCTTCAGAACTGATAGTTAGGCAGGAAAAGATGGTGGAGAAGAGGGGAGAGCGGGAATGACATAACTTCACATTGGCTGGTATCCCATCACCAAGTCACCCTTTATTTATATGTGGAAAGTCCTTGACACTGATCCAGCTTCCTCAGAGCCAGCTCTCAGAGTGAACAGAACCTCTGTTTATATCTGTCAGCCAGGGCTCCCTGATTGGCCCAGATTAACAGCCCCAAACAGGGAGCTGATATTCTATGAGGTCTATCAGGCTGACCTTATCATAATCACTACAGAGGAGGAGTAAATAATAGGTGGAGATGAAGCCCAGATACAGTTGGGCAGACAAAGGACTGGGTAAAGGTCAGCCTGGGAGAACCAGTAGCTGCTAAAGGAGACAATAGGTAGCAACCCATGTAATGGTAAGGCCTAGTGTGTAGAGGTTGGGGTAAGGACATGGGAGAAGGTGCTCAGGCCTTAAAATATTGAGTTCAGTATTGACTCCAGAAGGCTGCAGGGTCCCTCTTGCGGAAGATGAGGTGCTGTTCTTCCAGCTTGCACTGAGCTTCGCTGGAACATTGCAGCAAGCCAGAGACAGAGATGTTGGCCAGGGAGCAGGGTGGTGCGTTAAAGTGGCAGGCGACTGGAAACTCAGGGTCTTTTTTGTGAGCAGAACGTAGATGTTCTGCAAAGCGGTCACCCAGTCTACACTTTGTTTCCCTGATGTAGAGGAGGCCACATTGTGAGCAGTGAATGCAGTGGGCTTGGTTGTGAGAAATGCAGGTAAAGTGATGCTTCACCTGGAAGGTAGGTTTGGGCCCTTGGATACTGGGGAGGGAGGAGGTAAATGGGCAGGTGTTGCACCTTCGCCGGTTACAGGGGAAGGTGCCGTGGGGCTGGGGTAGGTGTTTGGACTGGACCAAGGGGTCCCGGAGGGATGGTCCCTGCGGAAGGCAGACAAGGGAGGGGAGGGGAATATGATTCTAGTGGTGGCATTCCACTGGAGGTGGTGGAATTGGCAGCTAATGATCATTGGATGTGAATGCTGATGGGATAGAACATAGAACGTAGAACAGTACAGCGCAGTACAGGCCCTTCGACCCACGATGTTGTACCGACCTATTATCCTACTAAGATCAATCTACCTTGGATACCCTACATTTTACTATCCTCCATGTGCCTATCCAAGAGTCGCTTAAAAGTCTCTAAAGTATCTGATTTCCACTACCATTGCTGGCAGCGCATTCCACACACACACTGCTCTCTGTGTAAAGAGCCTATCTCTGACATCTCCCCATACCTTCCTCCAATCACCTTAAAATTATGCCCCCTTGTAATAGTCATTTCCGCCCTGGGAAAAAGTTTCTGACGATCCACTCTATCTATGCCTCTCATCATCTTGTACATCTCTATCAAGTCACTTCTCATCCATCTTTGCTCCAATGTAAAAAGCCCTAGCTCCCTCAACCTTTCCTCATAAGACCTGCCCTCCAGTCCAGGCAGCATCCTGGTAAATCTCCTCTGCACCCTCTCTAAAGCTTCCACATCTTTCCTATAATGAGATGAACAGAACTGAGCACAATATTCCAAGTGTGGTCTAACCAGAGTTTTATAGAGTTGCAGCATAACCTCGCGGCTCTTAAACTCAATTCCCCTGCCAATGAAAGCCAATACACCATACGCTTTCTTTACAACCCTATCAACTTGGGTAGCAACTTTGAGGGATCTATGGACGTGGACCCCAAGATCCCTCTGTTCCTCCATGGTAAGGACAAGGGGGACTCTATTGCTGTTGTGGGAAGGAAGACAGGGGTGAGGGCCAAAGTGCAGGAGATGGGTCGGACCTGCTGAGTGCCCTGTCAACCATGGCGCTGGAGAATCCTCAGTCAAGGAAGAAGGTGGACATTTCTGACGCTCCCTTGTCAGATTTGGCATCATCAGAGCAGACGGTGGAACTAGTAGAATGGAATAGTCTCTACAGGAAGCAGGCAGTGAGGATGCATAATCAAGGCAGTCGTGGGAGTCGGTAGCTTTGTAATGGATATAGGTGGCCAGCCTATCCCCAGAAATGGAAACAGAGATGTCAAGGAAGGGAAGGGAGGAGTCAGAGATGGACAAGGTGAAGGTGAGAATGGGGTGGAACTTGGAAGCAAAATCGATAAACTTTTCCAATTCCAGACAATAGAGGGAAGCAGCACCAATGACATACTGGAGAAAGAGTTTTGGGGAGGGATCCAAGTAGGACTGGAACAAGGAATGTTCCATGCACACCACAAAGAGACAGGTATAACTGGGACCTGTGTGGGTACCCATCTGACCTGAAGGAAGTGGGAAGAGTTAAAAGAGAAGTTGTTGAGGGTGAGGACCAGCTCAGCCAGACGGAGGAGAGTGGTGGAGGATGGGAACAATTCAGGCTTTTGCTCCAGGAAGAAGCAGAGAGCCCGGAGACCATCTGGACAGGATGTGGACGTGTAAAGGCATTGCAAGTCCGTTGGTAAAGAAGATGCGGCTGGAGCCCATGAACTGGGAAGTTCCAAAACTGATATAGAAGAATTGCGGATGTACTTAGGAAGGGACTGGACGAGGGGAGAAAAGAATTTCAATCGAGAAAATCAAGCTGTGGTCAGACCACAGCTGGAAAACTGTGTTTTGTGCCCTAATATCTAAGGAAGGATATCCTGGCCTTGGACTAGGTTGATCCCAGGTATGGAAGGATTTTCTTCCGAGGACAGATTGAGTAGGTTGGGCTTGAACTCTTCGGAATTTAGGAGGATGAGAGGAGACCTTTTGAAATGGATAAGGTTCTGAGCAGGTTTGATAGTGTAGTCTCAGAGAGGTTGTTTCCCCTTGAGAGAGAGTCGGGGACGACACAATCTCAGATTAAGGAGATACACAGTTAAGACAGAGATGAGGAAGAATGTCTTCTCTCAGAGAGGAGTGAATTGGTCAAATTCTATGGAAAGAGCCATGGATGCTGGGTCATTAAGTATATTAAGGGCTGAGACAGACAGATTTTGAATCAGTGAGGTATCCAGGGATATGGGTTGAGGATTATCAGCTCAGAGGGGGCATGAATGGCAGGAGAGGCTCAGTGGGCCAAACAGCCCATTTCTGCTTCTACATCTAGCAGCCTTATATCATAACCATATTATAAAAATTATGATTCTAATACTTAGCCTCTTGCTCCCTTAACAGCTTCAATGCAAAAAGTACCAAAGACAGTAAAAAAAAAAAATTCATTATGAGGAAATGAAAGCAGAAAATTCTGGAAATCCTCATTGTGTCTGGCAGCAGCTGTGGAGCTAGGAACAGGGTTAACCTTCGATAAATGTGAGGTGTTGCATTTTGGAAAGGCAAACCAGGGCAGGACTAGTACAGTTAATGGTAGGGTCCTGGGGAGTGTTGCTGAACAAAGAGACCTAGGAGTGCAGGTGCTTAGTTCCTTGAAAGTGGAGTCACAGGTAGACAGGGTGGTGAAGAAGGCATTTGGTACGCTTGCCTTCATTGGTCAGAACATCGAATACAGGAGTTGGGAGATCATGGGGGTGGCACAGTGGCACAGTGGCTAGCACTGCTGCCTCACAGCACCAGGGACCCAGGTTTGATTCTAGCCTCGGGTGTCCATCTGTGTGGAGTTTGCCGTGTCTGCGTGGGTTTCCTCCAGGTGCTCCAGTTTCCTCCCACAGTCCAAAGATGTGCAGGTTAGGTGGATTGGCCATGCTAAATTGCCCATAGTGTTCAGGGATGTGTAGCTTAGGTGGGTTGTAGGGGGATGGGTGAGATGCACTGAGGTTTGGTGTGGACTTGTTGGGCTGAAGGGCCTGCTTCCACACTGTAGGGATTCTATTCTATTCTATGTTGTAGCTGTACAGGACATTGGTGAGGCCACTTTTCGAATATTGCGTTCAATTCTGGTCTCCCTGCTATCAGAAGGATATTGTTAAATTTGAGAAGGTGCAGAAAACATTTACAAGGATGTTGCCAGGACTGGAGGGTTTGAGCTATTGGGAGAGGCTGAATAAGCTGGGGATTTCTTCTTTGGAGTGTCAGGGGCTGAGGGGTGACCTTATTGAGGTTTATAAAATCATGGATAGGGTGAATAGTCAATGTCTTGTCCCTCAGGGTGGGGGAGTCCAGAACTAGAGGGTCTAGGTTTAAGGTGAGAGCGAGTAGATTTAAAAAGGACCTGAGGGGTAACTTTTTCATGCAGAGGGTGATGTGTGTATGGAGTGATCTGCCAGAGGAAGTGGTGGAAGTTGGTACAATTACAACCTTTAAAAGGCATTTGGATGGGTACATGAATAGGAAGGGTTTAGAGGGATATGGGCCAAACACTGGCAAATGAGACTAGGTCAGATTGGGATAACTGGTTGGCTCAGCTGAGTTGGACCCAAGGGTCTGTTTCCCTGCCGTACTTCAGCTCTGCAATCTTTCATCAGACAGAAGTAATGAGGGAGATAGTAGGAACTGCAGATGCTGGAGAATCTGAGATAACAAGCATAGAGCTGGATGAACACAGCCGGCCAAGCAGCATCATAGGAGCAGGAAAGCTGACGTTTCGGGCCTTGAACCTTCTTCTGAAGAAGGGTCTATGCCCAAAACATCAGCTTTCCTGCTCCTATGATACTGCTTGGCCTGCTGTGTTCATCCAGCTCTACACCTTGTTATCTCGGAAGTAATGAGGGGTTTTTTCCACAAGTAAAAGACGGAGAGTGGGAAGTAAATCAAAAGGAATGCTCTTTTTTGGAGGGCAGGAGAGATTAAATTACAAAAAAGGTTTCAAAGCCAAAAGGGAGGGCTAATGGAATAACATAGAGAAACATGCATCCTGAGGTCATGTGAATGGTAGGAACCTGGATAGATGCTGCCTGGAGGAAATAAGGGAGGCCAAATGACACGAGACAAGGTAGGGGTGAAGGTTATTACTTAAAACTGTCGTACTCAGTACCTAGAGAGATGTAGTATGCTAACTTGAAAGCTCATTGAGCATGTGTTGAATTCCAGTGGAACAATGTCGCAGAAGCTGTATCAAAGGTTACCTATTAATGATAGGCAATATAACCTAATTACTTAGGTTAGAGAAAAGGAACTGTGCATGACAAACCTTAGTGTCACATAAGCTCTCCACTTCGATGCGTAGGGAATCCGCGACAATTTCTTCTCTGCCTTTATCATTGAGGACATAATAAGCAACAATGCGGAAAAATGGGATCATTTCCCGAGTGATGCGAACGTCAAATGTGGTCTCTGGCCCCCTCTCAACTCTCCTGAAGTCCAGTACTTTTCCTTTACCGAGCACCTGAGAGAAACGCATAACTGTGATTAGAGTGAACATGCACTGGTGAGAGATGTAGGAAAGGGACTGGTCATGCATGGCCGACAAAGAGATGCAGGCTATATTATTCCCCAGTTGAATACAGCACTTGCCAGACCCCAGCTGGAGTGCGGCATTCAATCCTGGGCACCAGGAAGAAAGGATACATTAGTCTGGGAGTGGGATCTGTGCTGTTGGCCAAGATGGTACTGCTGCCAAAAGAATTAAATTATAAAACTAGGTTACGTGGTCCAGGCCTGGATTCCTTTGAATATAGAAGCTTAAGGAACTGAGGTCTCTCAGATGATTAAAGAAATTGGTAGGGTAGGAAGAGTGAAAATTATATCCTGTGGTGGGGGGTACTCCAGGACAAAGGGATATATATATATATATAAATCACTCTGCATCACAGCCAACTGATCCCACACCTCTTTGTTTGAAGACGTTCCTCCTCATCTCAGACTTAAATGATCACTCCCTAACCTTGAGTCTGTTCTCTCATATTCTAGATTCATAGAATACAATCCCTACAGTGCACAGAGAGGCCATTTGGCCCATCAAGTCTGCACCAACCCTCTGAAGTGCATCCTGCCCAGACCACACTCTCCGATCCTATCCCTGTAACCCTACCTTTCCCACAGGTATCCCACCTATCCCTGGACACTGCAGGCAATTCAGCATGGCCAATCCACCCTAGCCTGCACATCTTTGGACTGTGAGAGAAAACTGGAGCAAACCCACACAGACACAGGGTGAATATACAAACTTGCACAGGCAGTCACCAGAGGCTGGAATCAAACCTGGATCCCTGGCGCTGTGAAGCAGCAATGCTAACCACTGAGCCACCCTATCTCACCTGCTTTAAGGAAAACAGCTCTCATTCTTCTGCACGCCAGAGAATACTGACCTAATATGTTCAGTCCTCATCATATAGAGAATATCCCTCATTCCAGGAGGCAGTGTAGTCAACTTTTGCTGTACTGTCTCCAATATGTATCCTTCCTCAATATGGAGATGACAGTTGCACAAAGTATTCCAGGAGTAATCTCCCCAAATTCCTTTACCATTTCGGTAGGATTTCTTTATTCTTGTACTCCCATCCCCACATAGTACAGGTCAACACTCTTTCTTAATCACTTGCTGTACCAAACATGAACTATAAACGTTATTTAGAGGTTAGGATAACACAGTGTGGAGCTGGATGAACACAGCAAGTCAAGCAGCATCAGAGGAGCAGGAAAGCTGACGTTTCGGGTCAGGACCCTTCTTCAGAAATGGGGGAGGGGAAGGGAGCTGGGAAATAAATAGAGGGAGGAGGGATGGGGCTGGGAAGGTAGGTGGGATGGTGATAGGTGAGCGCAGGTAGGGAGTGGTGGGGATTGGTCAGTGAGGTGGGAGGAGTGGATAGGTGAGAGAGAAGATGGACAGGTTGTGTCAGGTCAAGGAGGCAGGGATGAAGCTAGTAAAGGTGAGTGCAAGTAGGGATTGGTCAGTGAGGTGGGAGGGGCGGACAGGTGGGAGAGAAGACAGGTCAAGGAGGCAGGGGTGAGAGAGAGGGTTGGTCATGGGATGTGGTCAGGGCTGGGGAGATTTTGAAACTAGTAAAGTCCACATTGAGACCATTGGGTTGTAGGCTCCCAAGGCGGAATATGAGGTGTTGTTCCTCCAGTTTCTGGGTGGCATCATTGTGACACTGGAGGAGGCCCATGATGGACATGTCCTCCAGGGAGTGGGAGGGCGAGTTGAAGTGGTTCGCAACTGGAAAGTATTGTCGTTTGTCGCAAACAGAGCACAGATGCCCTATGAAATGGTCTCTGAGTGCACGCTTGGTCTCCCTGATGTAGAGGAGGCCACATCAGGAACAGCAAGGCAATAGACCACATTAGCGGATGTGCAGGTGAAGCTCTGTCTGATGTGAAAGGTTTGTTTGGTGCCTTGGATTTAGGTGATGGGGGGAGGTGTAGCACCTCCTGCGGTCGCAGGGAAATGTGCTGGGGGTGGTGGGGCTAGTGGGGAGTGTGGAGTGGACGAGGGAGTCACGGAGAAAGCAGTCCCTCTGGAAGGCAGATAAGGGTGGGGAGGGAAATATATCTTTGGTTGTGGGGTCATATTGCAGGTGGCGGAAGTGGCGGAGAATGATACTTTGGATGCGGAAATTGGTGAGCTCCCTTCCCCCTCTCCATTTTTGAAGAAGGGTCCTGACCCGAAAGGTCAACTTTCCTGGTCCTCTGATGCTGCCTGTCCTGCTATGTTCCTCCAGCTCCACACTGTGTGATCTCAGACTCCAGCATCGACTATCTCTATGTATAGATCGGGGTTGCTTTACACCTTGAAATTCTCCATGATAGTACTGTAAAACTTACCAGGTAATAGAAGTAATGGACATTCCTGAGGTCGTGCTGGCTGATTGCAGTAAGACTAACAGTGATGATGTCCCCAGGATACAACAGAACGTGTGGAACACTGATGTGAAGGTACCTCTCGCTGGCAGAGTGGTGTTTCTTCACAATTTTACGTATCCTTTCAGATCCAGTGTCTTCATTGCCAGCAATTGCCTGGAAAGTGTTAAAGTTGACTGTATATTTAGAAGCAAAGAAACTAGTGGATGCTGGAAATCAGAACTTGCAGGAAAAATCGTGAGCTTTTCCAACAATTTCTGCTTTTGTTGTGTTTTTAGAATGGTAAACAGGCACAGAAAATCGACTTTTTTTTTAAATTCACTCCTTTCCCCAGGGTGTCCAAAACTAGAGGACATAAGTTTAAGGTGAGAGGGGAAAGATTTAAAAGGGATCTGAGGGGCAACATTTTCACACAGAGGGTGGTGCGTGTGTGGAATGAGCTGCCAGAGGAAGTGGTAGAGGCTGGTATAACTACAACATTTAAAAGACATCTGGATGGGTACCTGAATAGGAAGAATTTAGAGGGATATGGGCCAAACGCTGGCAAATGGGACTGGATTCATTTAGGATATCTGATCGGCACAGACGAATTGGACTGAAGAGTCTGTTTCCATGCTGTACCGCTCTGTGGCTCTCTGACACAGTATGTAGGTACCACTGCCATTTATTGCCCAGAGGGCAGCAGAGAGTCAACCACTTGGCTGGTTGGAGTCAGGTACAGGCCAGACCAGGTAAGGATGGCAGACTTACTTCCCTGAAGGGGCATTACTCAACCAGACGTGATTTACCCCCAACAATTGTTTTCATGGCCGTCATTAGATTCTCAATTCCAGATTTTATTTATATTCCACCATTAAAGCAGGATTCAAACCCATGTCCCCAGAACATTAATTGGATTAATAGTGTAGTGAGTACTATAATACAATAGTTCTGTGAATGCTGTATAAATAGACACAGTCCTTAGCAGATACATTGAAAGACATTTGGTAGTACAGATAGACAGACATTAAAAGATACAATTAAAACTAGACAGCCAGATACTTTAAAAGATAGCCAATTGTATAAATAGTTAGTCATTAATAGACACATTGAAAGATGGATTGGACTGCAGATAGTCAGACAGACATTAATAGATACATTGAGGAGTGATACAGATGTAAATGACAGATGGGCACAAGTGAAACACATAAAAACTGATCAAACCAATTATCAAGATGGGAATCTGCCATGAAAGCCATGTTCAAGGAGCAGTATGGAAATTTGCCCAATATCTGCCTCACGCCATGTCTGGAATTGAGGAGACTGAGTGGTGTCTTGATAAATTATTTGTAATTATCACAGAGTAGAAGAGGGTACATAGGGATAAGATCTTTCTTTTGTGGTGATTTTGGAATTACAGGAAATGAATATAAGTCAGATATGAATAACACCCATTATTGCACTGGTAAATCCAGACAGTATTTTAGCAAAACTTCAGCTATGTTTATTTGGGTGGCACGTTGGCTCAGTGGTTAGCACTTCTGCCTCACAGCACACCAGGGGACTCAGGTTTGATCCCAGCCTTGGGAGTGCGGGTCTGTGTGGGTTTTCTCCTGGTGCTCTGATTTCCTCACACAGCCAAAGATGTGCAGGTTAACTGGATTGGCCATGCTAAATCGCCCCATCATGTCCAGGGATGTGGAGGCTAGGTGGGTTAGCCATGGGAAATGCAGGAATAGGGTAGGGAGGATGGGTGTGGGTGTCATGCTCTTCAGAGGGTCAGTATGGACTCAATGGGCCAATTGGCCTGCTTCCACACTGTAGGGAATCTATCATTTGACATTGGCCTAATACTCAAAAGATCTCAGGTTAGATTGTACGTGAGAATATGATATTGGAACATGATCCAGGGGCTGGTTTCTTCTCCTGTGGAAGATGAGTGACAATTGTTAGTTCCTCTTAATTGTTTTTTGAAAAGTGAAGGCCAAGAGGTGACTTGATAGAAATTTTGAAATTACCAAAGGGTTGACGGGATTGTCAGTAATATTGATTTTTTGTTTAAACTGAGGGGGATTCCAAAACCAAGAGCCATAGATATAAGGTAATCACAAATAACTCTGAGGAAATTCTTTTGAGACTGGTGAGTCTGTGGAGCTCCTTTCCTTTAAATCTAGTTGGAGTGAATACTGTAGATGCATTGAAGGCAAAGCAATAAGGAATTGGAGGTTAATTTGCTGTTGGACGATGATGTAAGTGGATAAGCAAGTTCTTCATAAATTTCTGACTGACCGAAGTTAAAATTACTCCATGGAGGCGGGTCTACTGGCTAACTGCTGGCTGAGGATTTCTCTCTGCTCTGAAGTCCACAACAAGAGGCTGAATGCCAATTCTCACTTACCAGATTTCAGAGCACAAAATGAAGGGGCATATGTTAATAGAATGGAAATCCATCCCAAGATGCTCCCTCGCCCTCAATCCTGATAGCAAGCTGGAAGGAGAAATGTGTATTTGTGTGTGTCTGTGTGTTTGTGTGTGTGTGTATGTGCATGTGTGTGTGTATGTGTTTGTGTGTGTGGGTGTGTGTGAGTGTGTCTGTCTGTGTGTGTGAGTGTGTGTGTACGCGTGTTATGTATGTGTGTATTTGTGTATGTGTGTGTATGTATGTAAGTGTGTGTGTATGTGAGTCTGTGTGAGTGTTTGCGTGTGTGTGAATGTTTGTGTGTTCATCTGCATGTTTGTGCATGTATCCATGTGTGTATCTGTGTGTTTGAGTGTGTGTGTTTGTGTTTGTGTGTGTCAGTGTTTTCCTGTGTGTATGCTTCGTATGTATCTGTATGTGTACCTGTATGTGTGTGCATGAGTGTCCATTTGTGTGGGTGTGTGTGTGTGTGTGTGTGTGCCTATGTGTGTGTTTTTATGAGCGTGTATGTTTCATGTACGTGTGTCTTCATGTGTATGTTCGTGTATGTTTTTGCACGTGTTTTCATGTATGTGTGTGTTCCTGTGTGTGTTTGTATGTGTCTATGTGTTTGTATGTGTGTATCTGTGCTTGTGTTTGTGTACATGTGTTCACGTGTGTTTTCGTCTGTATGTGTGTGTGTGTGCGTGCGCGTGTGTGTGTGCGTGCACTCGCACGTGCATGTTTTTGTGTATTCCAAAGTTAGATTGAATGAAACTGTAAACTGGAAAATAAATATTGGTTATAATCATGAATATCAGCAAAAAGACACAAACTGTGGTAATCCCGACTGAAAAAAAATAGTGAGGAACATAGTCTTACCACAATTTCTATAGTCTCAGCATTCCAGGGAGCCATAAATTTAAATCCTAGCTCGCCAATTTGGTCAGTCCATCCTGAAACATCAGATGTAAATGTGTTTTCCCCTGTGATGTTCACTAATACTTTGATTGGTACAGCAACAGCAGCAGAACCATTGGGATAGATAACTGATATCTGTAAGATAATCAATGGTAATCAATGATTCCTGAATAGTGTGAGGTCATGGATTTGTGGGAGGACCAACAAGGCAAGGGAGTCCATGCTGATTGATAGGATCCTAGGAAGTACAAAGGATCAGAGGAACCTTAGTGTGAATATCCATAGATTGTTGAAGGTAGCAAGACAGGTAGGAAAGTTATGGAAGAAGTAATCTGGGTCAATTACCTTTATTAGTCAAGGCTTTGCACACAACAGCAGGGCAGTTACAATTGAGCCTGAGAAGATTTTGACTAGTTTACTGTTGGTGTACTGTGTTCAGTTCTGGTCACCATATTCCGGGAAGGATATGATTGCATTAGAGAAGATGCAGAGGGAGATTCACCAGGATGTTGACTGGGAAGAAGCATTTCAGCGAAGGGGAGAGGCTGGATAAACTTTTCCTTTGGAGCGGAGAACGCTGAAGGGGGCACCTGATTGAGATGTAAACGATTATGAGGGACATTGTAGGAAGAAATGCTTCCAGCTCATACAGCAGTGAATAACTGAAGGGTGGGGGTGTGGGGGGAGGGGGGTTGGTGTGAGGAGTATGGTTTGGATGGATGCTTAAATTTCAGGTAAGGATCAGAAGGTTGACAGGGGATTTAAGGAAAAGTATCTTCACCCAGACAGTGGTGTTTATCTGAAACCCGCTGCTGAAAAGATAGTACAGGTGGCAACCTTCAGAACATGAAAGAGTTGAACACTAAAAATGCCTCCGAATACAAGGATATGGGTCAAGTGCTGGAAAACGGAATTGGAGTAGATAAGTGCTTGATGACTGGCGCAGACATAATGGGCCAAAGGATCTTTATCCGTGCTGTCAAATATCTATGAGGTAAGTGAATTAGATGGGTTTTCACAATGATTGACGTTAGGCTAGCTTTTCAGTTCCAGATTCTTATTAAATTCAGATTCCACCATCTGCCACGTTGAGATTCAACCCATGTCCACAGAGCATTAGCCTGGAGTTCAGAATTGTCATTCCAGTAACATTATCACTATACCACTGCCTTCCCTAATGGGAATGATAGAATCCTGAGAAGTATTGAAGATCAGAAGAACCTTAGTGTGGATAACCATAGATCCCTGTAGGTAGCAGGATCGGTAGATAAAATGGTTAAGCAGTATTGGATTCATCCCTTTATTAGCTGAGGCATAGTTTACAACACCAAGCAGGTTATAATGGGACTGTATAAAACAGTAAATGGGCCACAACTGGACCAAGTGCTCAAAAATGATATTAGAGAAGGTAGGGGCTTAGTGACTAGCACGGACACATAGAGTCATTCAGGGAAACAGACCCTTCAGTCCAACTCATCCATGCCGACCAAGTTTCCCAAACTAAACTAGTCCCATTTGCCTGCATTGGCCCCACATCCCTCCAAACCTTCCCTATTCATGTACCAGTCCAAATGTTTTTTAAATGTTATAACTGTACCTGCACCTACCACTTCCTCTGGCAGTTCATTCCACACACAAACCACCCTCTGTGTAAAAAGGTTAAGCCCTTCAACTCCCTTTTAAATTTTTCTCCTCTCACCCTAAAAATATGTCCCCCTCGTTTTGAATCCCCCCCATCCTAGGGAAAAGACCTTTCCTGTTCACCTTATCTAAGACCCTCACGATTGTATATACCTTTATAAGGTCACCCCTCAAATTCTGTGCTCCAGTGAAAAAAGTCCCAGCCTATCCAGCATCTCCTAATAACTCCAGTCCCAGCAACATCCTGGTAAATCTTTTTTGAATCCTCTCCAACTGAATAATATTCTTGCGAGACCAGGGTGACCAGAAAGTGGCCTTACCAATACCCTGTATGATCTCAAGATGACATCCCAACTCCTGTACTCAAAGCTCTGACCAATGAAGGCAAGCATGCTAAATGCATTCTTAACCATCCTGTCTACCTGTGATGCAAGTTTCAAAGAACTATGTACCTGAACCTCTAGGTCTCTCTGTTTGACAACACTACCCAGGGCTCAACATCAACTGTATTAGTCCTGTCCTTGTTTGTTTTACCAAAATGCAATACCTCACATTTTTCCAAATTAAACTCCATTTGCCATTCCTCAGCCCATTGGCCCAATTGATTAAGACCCCTTGTAATCTTCAATAAAGTTCTTCACTGCCCACTATAGCACCAATTTTGGTGTCATCTGCAAACTTGACTATGCCTCCTAAATTCTCATCAAAATCGTTTGTCTAAATGACAAATAAAAGTGGACCCAGCACAAATCCCTTTGGCATATTACTGGTCACAGTCTTCCAGTCTGAGAAACAACCATTTACCACCACTCTCTGTCTCCTACCGTTAAGGAAATTTAGTATCCAATTGGCAAGTTCTCCCTGAATCCCATGCTATCTAACCTTATGAACCAGTCTACCATGCGGAACCTTGTTAAAGGCTTTACTAAAGTCCACGTAGACAATATCTACCGCTCTGCCCTCAATCTTTTCGGTTACATCCTCAAAACACTCAATCAAGTTAGTGAGACACGATTTCCCATGCACAAAGCCATGCTGATCATCCCTAATCAGTCCTTGCCTCTCCAAATGAATGTAAATCCTGTCTCTAAGAATCCCCTCCAACTTGCCCACTACTGACTCACAGGTCTATCGTTCCCAACCTTCTCCTGACAGCCTTTCTTAAATAAAGGCACAACATGAGCTCCCTCCAGTCATCCATCACCTCACCCATGGCTGTAGATGATACAAATATCTCTGTTAGGGGGCCCCAATTTCTTCCCTAGCTTCCCACAATGCCCTGGGATAGATAATGGGCTGAAGAGCCTCTTTCCGTGCTGCAAAACCTCTACGACAGTGGGAGAAAAAAAACACTATAAGAGACAAAGCAGAAGAAAATAAAAAAGGTGCAATTGCCCCTTTAAGTTGCCAAGATGTTTACTGCCCCTATTATCTGATGAGTTGTTGGCATCGTGGGAATATAACTGGGTTGGCCATTCACTTCAGTGTCTCACCATTGCCCTTCCTTTGATATTCCTTCCAATTCCTGTCACCTGAATGAATTTGTTGATTTCTGTTACCTTGTGATTGTTGCAAGATTCACACGTGGTTACTTCTTCCGTATATGATTTTCTCAATGTAAATCACACTGCAATTCAGTTTCCAGGCACTGTATAGTGCTCCCTCAGTTACATTTTGGAGCATGAATTGTGATAAGGTATTGGAAATGGAATCGAACCCATCATTTTCAGGCACTGGGGCCAGAGCGTTACCAAATGAGCGTCAGTTGACAGCAGGGGGACGCTTGATGACAAGGGAAATGGAGTTCCTAACAACTGAATACTAGAAACTGACGAGAAACCCCTCTAATTTTATGCACCACTGAAGCCTAGTGCAAGATGTAAAGTTGACGCCATCCTCAATCCGACTGGATTCACAATTAGTTGCAAACTGTCTTCTACATTGCACCTTCTCCTAGGGATCAGTGCAACTCTTGGAGCTGAACAATAACTGATTTGCCAATACTTTAAAACCCGCGCATGTTCGACTCCTGACTGGCAAGTTGCCAAAGTTTTCCAACCGGTTTATCGTCTTTCACTTCTGCAGGCAACTCATCCTTTGGCAATTAAAATGTCAGTTTCCTCTCAAAGTTCTTTGTCATCTTCTTATTCAGTCACAGGATTTTGACATCACTGGCTAGGATAGCATTAATTGCCCATCCCTAATTGCCCAGAGGGCAGTTACGAGTCAACCACATTGCTGTGGGTCTGGAGTCACGTATAGGCCAGACTGGGTAAGGATGGCGGTTTCCTTCCCTAAAGGGCAGTAGTGAACCAGATGGGTTTTTCCTGACAATTGGCGACAGACACATGGTCATCATTAGACTCTTAATCCCAGATTTTCAGTAGATTCAAATTCGACCACCTGTAGTGACAGGATTCGAACCCAGGGTCCACAGAACTTGACCTGGATCACTGGATGATTGTTAATCCAGTGATAATACCACTAGGGCATCACCTCCCCTTTCTTTACATTGCAATGCTTGCCTTCCTCTTAGCGTTGACAAAAGGCATATTGCTGAAACATTAGCTCACTTGATCTCCCCTCTCGCTGTGTTGTCAGTGTACCGCTCAACTTTGCACCAAATTGGGAGCATTGGCTGAATCTTACCAGAATATCGTATAATTTGGTGAGTTTTGTTTAAGTCCAGGGAGTTTCCCCTCGCGAGCATCCAAAACCCGCCTTGTTAACCATGCCCATTTGCCCCTACCACCCCCCCCCCATTTAAATCTCTTATTCACCAGAGGCAGGAACACGCCCCAGTTCTTGGGTATGACATGACGTTTGGTGCTGGCACCGTACTTAGGTGCCCGCTGCACACCCGGTCAAGCACTGGCAGTCTGGAACACACCCGTAGCTGCCTGAGACATTGCCCACACCCCCTTCTCGAGCTTGGCACGAAGGATGAAACTGACGCCTCGCCGCTGCTGAAATTTGGCATGGCCTGAGCGCAGCAGTTTTGGCTGTGCCAGGGACATGGGACAGACGTGACGGTCTTCCTCAAATGCCCTTGATTCCAGGGACAGTCAGCTGGATGGGGAATGATACCTGGAGAAACCCTTTGCCAAGAAACAAGGGAACATGGAACATGGTCAAGTGATTGAAGGTGTCCCTCCTCCTCAAAAAAAAAGCAGCACAGTGGCTCAGTGGTTAGCACTGCTGCCTCACAGCTCCAGGGACCTGGGTTTGATTCCACCCTCGGGCGACTGTCTGTGTGGAGTTTGCACATTCTCCCTGTGTCTGCGTGGGTTTCCTCCCACAGTCCAAAGATGTGCAGGTTAGGGTGGAGTGGCCATGCTAAATTGCCCCTAGTGTTCAAGAATGTGTAGATCAGGCAGGTTATAGGGGGATGGTTCTGGGTGGGATGCTCTGAGGGTAGGTATGGACTTGTTGGGCCGAAGGGCCTGTTTCCACACTGTCGGGCTTCTATGATATGATAGCCTTTCGTCCTTAGCTTGTCAAGAAATAATCTCCATCTGCTTTAAGAATATTCGAAGACGCTGATTGGTCTGTCTTTCAGGGAAGGGTGTTCCAAAGATTTTCACCCCCTCTTTGAGAAAAGAAATCTCCTTGTTTTTTTGTCTTCAGTGGACAACCCCTTACTGTTAAACTGTGACCTCAACAAAAAAAAAATCAATACTTAGCAAGAAATGCATACGTACCAGGGAGTAAAAGTCAGTTCCGAGTGTGAAATAAGGTTTGGTGCCTGCCAAGCTGATATGATAGGGTGACGCTCGAAATGGTATGTTGTCCACTAACTTGGTTTCATGATGCCCTGCATTGAAAAAAAAACACTAACACCTTGCATTTATATTGCAACTTCAATGCAGTGAAGCAGCCCAAGAGCTGTGATCAGACAAAATTCCTAAACGACCTACAGAACAACACTTTAGGTCAGTTATCTAAAAACTTAGGTCAATAGGCATCTTAAAGAAGGAAAGGGAGGTAGAGTCAGAGAAATTACTGGAGGAATTCCAGATGTTAGGGCCTAGGCAGTTCTAGGCACAGTTGCCAATATCAAAACAAAATTAATTCACAAGACACGCTTATGACCCATCCGGAATTAAAGGGGCAGGATTGGAATGCTCTGTACAGGAGTTGGGAGGTCACGTTGCGGCTGTACAGGACATTGGTTCGGCCACTTTTGGAATATTGCCTGCAATTCTGGTCTCTCAGCTGTGGGAAAAATGTTGTTAAACCTGAAAGGGTACGGAAAAGATTTACAAGGATGTTGCCAGGGTTGGATGGCTTGAGCTATAGGGAGAGGCTGAATAGGCTGGGGCTCTCTTTCCCTGGAGTGTCAGAGGCTGAGGGGTAACTGTATAGAGATTTATAAAATCATGAGAGGCATGGGTAGAGTGATTGGACATGGATTTTTCCCAAGGGTAGGGGAGTCCAAAACAAGAGGGCATAGGATTAAGGTGAAGAGAGAAAGATTTAAAAGAGACATAAGGGGCAACCAGATATCCTAAATTAATCCAGTCCCATTTGCCAGCATTTGGCCCATATCGCTCTAAACCCTTCCTATTCATATACCCATCCAGCTGCCTTTTAAATGTTGTAATTTTACCAGGCTCCACCACTTCCTCTGGCAGTTCGTTCCATACACACACCACCATCTGCGTGAAGAAATTGCCCCTCTGGTCCCTTTTAAAGCTTTCCCCTCTGACATTAAACTATGCCCTCTAGTTTTGATAGACCTTGGAGTGCAGGTTCATAGTTCCTTGAAAGGGGAGTTGCAGATAGACAAGATGCTGAAGAAGGCGTTTTATATGCTTGCCTTTATTGGTCAGTGCATTGAGTATAGGAGTTGATATGTAATGTTGCGGCTCTACAGGATATTGGTTAGGCTGCTTTTGGAATAATGCGCTCAATTCTGGTCACCCTGCTATGGGAAAGATGTTGTGAAACAATTGCTATGAAGGAACAAATCAGAAACTAAAATTGTGAACAATCTGGTTCACCAACAGAAAATGCCTGGTGTGTGCAATGGTTTCAGGAAATGAACATTGTGGTGTGGACTAGTAACAATGACCATGTTAGTTTGAGAACATTTCTATGGGCGCAGCACTGAACTTCAAACTGTGTGGAGTTTGCACATTCTCCCTCTGTCTGCGTGGGTTTCCTCTGGGTGCTCCAGTTTCCTCCCACAGCCCAAAGATGTGCAGTCTAGGTGGATTGGCCATGCTAAGTTGCCCATAGTGTTCAGGGTGAACAGCGAAGAAGCATTGGCAATTGCTTAGCATCCAAAAAAAATGTCCAGCTCAATTTTGATGAGGACTCACCTTCTTGGTCCGAAATATCTGCTTGAATATACAACATGCCTTTCTTGAACTTGTCCATCCCCCCTTTCTCGTCTATGCTCTTGATCAGAATGCTCGTATCTAAAGTCACACGAAAGTCTCTATTCAGGGTCTGCAAATAGAAATCAAAACGTATTTGAGAAATCGAGATGGGAAAATCCGACAAACCTCTGTGGGCGGATATTCTACATCCCAGGATACTGAAGGAAATGGCCCTGGAAATACTGGATGCATTGGTGTTCATATTCCAACATTCTACACACTCTGGAGCAGTTCCTTCAGATTGAGGGAAGAGATTGGAAATGTAATCCCATTGTTTAGAAAGGGAGGGAAGGAAATCACAGCTAAGTATAGATATGTTAGCCTAACGTCATTGTGGGTAAAATGCAAAAGCCTATTATAAAAGACGTAATATTAGGACACTTGGAAAGCATTAAGTGGGCTGGACTGTTCCGCAGAAGGGTCACTTGACCCGAAACTCTGATTTCTCTCCACAGATGCTGCCAGACCTACTGCACTTTTCCAGCAATTTCTGTTTTTGTTTTGGACCAAGCCAGCATCATTTTACGAGAGGCCTCCAATATCCCATGGTCTTAGATTTTGCATGTGAATCTCTGATGTGGGACCTATCGAAAGCCTTTTGAAAATCTAAGAGAGCCACATCCACTTGCTCCACCTTATCCACTCGACCAGTTAAACCTGGAAAAAATTTGTCAAGCCTTTGTAAATCTGTGCTGACTCAGTCTGATCTTGGCACTGTATTCCAAATGTTCTTCCAGTACCTCTTTAAAATGGACTCTAGCATTTTTCCCACTGCCAAACTCAAACTAACTCTTCCATACTTTTCTTTCAGCTTTCCTCCTTATATAGTGGGGTTATATTAGTAACCCCAATCCATGGGAACAAGTGAACATTGCAGGACTCTGAAATAAAGAGAGTTTTTGGTGTCCTCATGTGTGAATCACAGAAGGTTTGTATGTGGGTACAGTGAGTAATCAGGAAAGCTCATAGCATGCTATGGTTTATTGTGAGGAGAATTGAATTCAAGTATAGGGAGGTTATGCTTCAGTTATACAGACTAGGGGTGGGACTGCACCTTAGGTACTGTTTACATTGCTAGTCACCGTACTTATAGAGTCATGGAGATGTACAGCATGGAAACAGAACCTTCGTTCCAAATTGTCCATGCCTACCAGATATCCTAAATTAATCTGGTCCCATTTGCCAGCATTTGGCCCATATCCTTCCAAACCCTTCCTATTCATATACCCATCCAAATGTCTTTTAAATGTTGTAATTGTACCACCCTCCACCACCTCCTCTGGCAGCCCATTCCATTCACGCACCACTCTCTGCATGAAAAAGTTGCCCCTCAGGTTCCTTTTATATCTTGCCCCTCTCACCTTAAACCTATGCCTTCTAGTTTTGGATTCCCCTACCCTGGGGATGAAACTTTGTCTACTCACCCTATACATGCCCCTCATCATTTTATAAACCTCTATAAGGACACCCTGAAGTCTTTGAATAACAGAAGGGTGTTAATGCGTTGGAAACAGTTCGGAGAAGGTTTACTAAACTAATCCTTGAAATCAGTGGATTATTTTACGAGGAAAGACTAGACAGGCTGGGCCTGTATCCTCTGGATAAAAACCGAAAGAACTGCAGATGCTGTGAATCAGGAACAAAAACAGAAGTTGCTGGAAAAGCTCAGCAGGTCTGGAAGCATCTGTGAAGGAAAAAACAGAGTTAATGCTTTTGGTCTGGTGACCCTTCCTCAGAACTTCTGTTCTTCTGCACCTCAAGTTCTGAGGGAGGGTCACCGGACCAGAAACGTTAACTCTTTCTTTTCTTACAGATGTTGCCAGACCTGCTGGACTTTTCCAGCAACTTCTGTTTTTTTTCAAGTATTCTCTGGAGTTTAGAGAGTCAGAGGTGACTCAGCTGAAACATATAAGATCCTGAGGGGACTTGATCAATTGGATGTTGAAAGGACGTTTTGTCTTGTGGGAGAATCCAGAACATGGATTAAAAGTAAGTGGGAGTCCATTTAAAACAGAACAGAGAAACATTTTCTCTCTGAGGGTTGTGAGTTTTTGGAATTCCCTTCCTTAAAAGATAGCGGATGCAGAATCTTCAAATATATTTAAGGCAGATGTCGATTCTTGATGACCAAGGAATGAAAGATTTTCAGGGATGTACAGGAATATACAGTTGACATTAAATTCAGATCAGCCACGGTCTTGTTGGATGATGGACTAGACTCAAGTAATCCACTCTTGTTCCTTATATGTATCAGGGGTAATGTGTAGGCCCAATGGGTTAAGAATGGCAGATGGGTTTTGAGGACAGTCAATGGTTACCCTTACTGTGACTAGCTTTGAGCTTCAGACTTAGCTCACAGTGGCTCAGTGGTTAGCACTGATACGTCACAGCGTTCGGGAACCTCGGGTGACTGTCTGTGTGGAGTTTGCACATTCTCCCCGTGTCTGCCTCTGGGTGCTCCGGTTTCCTCCCACAGTCCAAAGATGTGCAGGCTAGGTGGATTGGCTGTGCTAAATTGTCCCATACTGTCCAGGGATGTGCAGGCTAGGCATGTTAGACATGGGAAATGCAAGGTTACAAGGAGAGGGTAGGGGTGTGGGTCTGAGTGGGATCCTCTTTGGAGGTGCAGTGTGGACTCAATGGGCCAAATGGCCTGCTTTCACACAGTACAGATTCTATGACCTCTGGATGATCAATCTAAGTCAGTACCATTACCACACCATCTTGCAAAAGGCATAATGTCAGAGGAGCTCAATAGATGCGTGGATTATTTAACAGCACTTTTCCTTCTGAATCAGTGGATGGTAGGGCTCAAATTTCTGCTCCATGACTCGAGCACAGAAATATCTACACTGGCATCCCAGTTACGCCCTGACAGAGGGCTACACTTTTGGAAGCTGCCATTTTTCTGTTGAAAAATTAAAGCTGAATTCTTGTCTGTTGTGCTGACGAATGCAAAAATCACACAACGTTTGCTAAACACCAGAGGAGATCATGTGATGGAAGCGAATTTTGTGGTAACTTTCAAAAGGGATTCTGATGAATATTTGAAATTGGAAAATTTGCAGGATTATGGAGTTTGGGGCTAATTGCATAGATCTTTCAAGGATCTGAAGGCACAATGGGCTGTGCGAGCACTGTATTCATTCATGTTCCTTCTTTACACCACAGTTAGGGTCAATTATATAAATGTAATTATGCTGTTATTGGACATTGAAGGGGACATGCAGATTCAATGTTGGTGTCTAATGTACACTTTGCTTGACTTTTTCTGTTACAGAGAACTAAACTGAATATGGGACCATGTCTATAAAAGCTGACCAACGCAAGGCAACTTGCTTCTCATCACTGGGAGTATTGCAGCTGAAGTTTCGCATTTAATTTCCCACTCATGAATGATCTCGCACAAACCAGAAAGCTGACTTACGCAATGGATTGGTTGAACTTTTGATAAGGGGACCCTCTGACCAGAAATCGTTATCCCAAAAGTCACACTGCCATGAAGATCACAGTTGGACTTAGCACTGCAAGGAGAAGAAACACAT